GAACTTTTGGATTTTCTTGTATAGACTACGTGCTGGAAGGAACACCTCTTGAAACTGAGACAGGTCTAACTTTGTTCCGACCTCTAGGTCACTAGCCCTTAGGCCAACTCCACCGCGCGACCCCATCTTGTCCGGATGCGTTCGTTTGGAGTAAAATAGACGAATAGCGCGGCCCAACGCACGGCCTCAAACGGACAAATGTCCGGAATTCGTCCCATCCCCGGTCCAAAGTTGCGCTCGGTTTGGGGTGAAACGGATGCGCGCGGACGGCCGCGACGCACGCCCTTGTCCCCCCGTGGCCCGCCTGTCGGGAACACTAGCAGTCCCTCCCTCCCAACGCTTCGACCCTCTCTCTCCCGCCCCGCCCCGCCGCCGGCGCCGCCGCTATGCTCCGGCCGCCTCCGCACCGTGCAGCCCCCGGCCATTCATACCAAACCACGTGTAGACATGGCCGCCACCACGCCCGCGCTTTTGTCGTAGTTTTGGCCGTCGATCGGAGGAGGTTTGGCCGTCGCCGTCTTTGTCGGTAGCAGAGGAGACACGACCGCCGGCGACGTACCACAGCGGCCGCATCAGCTTCCGACGGCTCCAGAGCGGCCAGTAGCCGGCCGACAACCACCCTTGCTGCGCCCAGGTGATCATCGCGGCCTCTTCGCCACCACGACCGCAAGGTGTTCGACATTTTGACCACAAAGGTATGGACAGTGGAGACGAGTTCTTCTTCCATCACTTCCTTTGTTCATCGGACGATTCGTCGTCGGATGATGAAGATCTTGTGGTGGCTGCACTAGTCGTTCACGACCACATTCAACGGCAGCTTCCTCGGTACAGGGGGTCAGTCCCTGGCCGTGCTCCCAATCTGAACCGCAACAGGAAGAGAGGCCACACCCTGCTCTATGCCGATTACTTTTCCAACAAACCGCTCTTCAAGCCGGATAAATTCATTCGCCGTTTTCGAATGGCAAGGCATGTGTTCAATCGTATCTGAGAGGGAGTGGTTGCTCATGACCCATACTTCGAGTGCAAGACGGATGCCCTTGGCAAGCTTGGGTTCTCCTCTTACCAAACATGCACCGCGACTGTCCGCATGCTTGCGTATGGAATTCCAGGCGATCTGGTGGATGAGTACGTGCGTATGAGCGAGACAACATGTCTGATGTCAATGTACAAGTTCTGCCAGGCTGTGATCGAGGTGTTTGGCCCAGAGTACTTGAGGCAGCCAACTGCCGCTGATACAGAGAGATTGTTGGCAACCAACGCAGCTAGAGGCTTTCCAGGCATGCTTGGCAGCATGGATTGTATGCACAGGGAGTGGAAAAACTATCCATTTGCTTGGCAGAGCCAGTACAAGGGGCATGTCAACGAGTGCACTGTCATATTAGAAGCGGTGGCATCGCAGGATCTTTGGATATGGCATTCTTTTTTCGGCATGGCAGGTTCTCACAATGATATCAACGTGCTGCAACGTTCTCCAATCTTCGCGAGGCTTGCAGAAGGCCGCTCCCCACCTATCAACTTTGAGATCAACGGTCACTAGTACAACAAAGGATACTATCTAGCTGATGCTATATATCCTAAGTGGTCAACTTTTGTGAAGACAATCTCGAAGCCCCAAGGTGAGAAGAGAAAGAGATTTGCCCAAATGCAAGAGAGTGCTAGAAAGGATGTGGAACGTGCTTTTGGTGTGCTTCAATCCCGATGGGGCATCGTTCGATACCCTGCACTGTCATGGGATGAAAGGAAGCTTTGGGAGGTGATGACTGCTTGTGTGATCATGCACAACATGATCGTCGAGGACGAGTGTGATGACAGTATCTTCGACCAAGGATTTGATTTTCAAGGTGACAATGTTGAGCCCCTGCACCAAGAACCGGACACGTTTGATCAGTTTGTCCAGTTCCATCGTGAGCTGCGTGATTGGCATACTCATAAGGCTCTTCAAAATGACTTGGTTGAACACGTGTGGGAGCATATTGGCAACCGATAGATGTATTGGTTCGTTTTATGTTCATTCAAGACAATTTCGATTTGGTTGTAAAACTATCTTTATTAGAGACAATTTCGATTGGGTTGTAAAACTATTTTAATTTTTAAACAATTAATATTTGGACGTGCAAACTTGTTTTCATATGAAAATATGGGCATTTTAGGCCCCGACGGACGGGATGGGGCAAACGGATGCGGCCGCGCGCTGGGCGCACGGCCACCGCATCCCAGGACAGGCCCGGACACGACCCCATTGTCCTACCCAAACAGACAGAATCCGGACAAAACGGACGTCCGTTTGGGGTCGCGCGATGGAGTTGGCCTTATACATTAACATATAGTGCCTCGTTGAGCTTGCAAATTTTCTCTTCTTTATCTTTTTTTCTCATAACCAAGAAGTTGTTCCCCGTACACTTCTTCTATGGGATCATTGTTGAGGAAAGTAGATTTAACATTCATATAAAAACCTTTCAATCCTCTTGTGCTGCCATAGCTAGGAGCAACCTCGCCGTCTTGAGTCGAGCAACAGATGCAAACATCTTTTCATAGTCAACTCCTTGAAAATCATCAAGACCGAGGTATGCAACATGAACTTTTTTTTACTTAAAAGTTTGCCACACCTTAAATTTTTTCCGTCCTCCGCCTCTGTGTAGTAGTATGTGTGATAACATGTGTTAGAAGCTATGAAACACGTTTTTTGAACTAGCCTCAAACTTTATTAACCAACTGGTAAGAGTTACATCTCTCAAAACAAAGGGAAACAGAAACGAGGATGGATCACCATCCCAATTAAAATCTCATTGAGAATCATAAGAGCGCTTCGCTAGTTGGTGAGCAACACAATTTGCCTCCCGGGGACAGTAAGAAAAAGAAGCTCCTTTGATCATCGTGACCTTTGCAAAACATTCCGCAAGTGTATGAGGGCTGAAAAATCTGAGAAGCACCATTGCATGTTGATTAGTTCCAATGAATCAAATGAAATGTAAACTGGCTGCATCCCAAACTCTCTACCAGCTCCATTCCTATTAGTAAAGCAATGGCCTCAGCCGAGGCAACATTAAGGACATAACTTAGAAAGGTTGCCGCACGAGCCACTGCCTCCCCCATGTTATTACGAAGAAAAACACCAACAGCACATGTAACATTGTCATGGAAAGAAGCATCTGTATTCAGTTTACATCAGCCAGCTCTTGGATTTGTCCATGATATTTCAGGAGGTTTTAACTGTTAAGGCTTGAATTGCAAAGGCAGGGCCGTCCTGCGACCGATTCTTCTTTCTCCAACTATTTTCGTTGCCACCATATGTACCAACAAGCAACAACAACAACAACTGAGTCTTGTAGTCCCAAAGTTCCCAAGACAAGAGAAGAGAATTCCGGTTTTGATTGCATAAGATATATTCAAGCAGAACTGAGCCCGACTCCAAACACGTTTTATTTAGTACACCGTTGCTCGAAAAAATTACGCCATGTTTTTTTCAGGATCAAATTACACCATGTTTTCTTTTAACACAATATAGACGCAATCACGCATATACACTCACCTTATGTGAGCCGGGGATACCCACAGTCCCTCTAACCATCTAATTACAGATTTGTTACGCCATGTTAAAGTGATACATCAACGTGACATTAGCTCCGGCTCCGCCCCTGGGCGACCGGATGGATATACAGTACTTCAGAGACTGAAATTCAAAACCATGGTGTCACAACACCACACCTCCCCATAACCCATTGATCGTCTCCTCCTCTCGTCGCTGTTGAGGAAACCGGACGGAACGGGGAGGAATCCGTGCCGTGCAGTGCAGCTGCAGATTCTCCCCCACAATTTTTTTTATTTTTATAAAAGAATAGAGGGACGAAATCCTTAGGGGAAAGCATCCGTCCGCACGCACGGCACCGCCCGGACCCAAGCACCAGCACGTTTGGATTCGGGTCCGCTGCCCGGTGGGCCCGTCCAGGCCCGCCTACCTACCCCCTCCCTCCCCTCTCCTCCCGCAGTAGCTGGGCAGCTAGCCAAGGAAGGACTCGCCGTCCCCATCTTCCTTCCCCACCCCGCCTCCTCCTCCGCCACGCCACGCCACCTCCTCCCCCCTCCGACTCGCGCCCTCC